TGGTTTTGGGGATGGACAGGTGCTGACAACTGGGTGCGTGTTGGGGGGCGGGAGGGTAAGAGCAAGAAAGACCTCGCCTACAGGTGGCCGGCCTGGAAGAAAGCCAGAGGCAGAGCTGAGGAAGGCCTGACGGATGGCCCATGCAAAAGCATGAGGGTGGGAGATGAAATGTCCTGGATGGGTACAGGTAGGGGCCCAGACCTGGCTGGGATGGGCAGTCCATGGAGCAAGCATGCAGAATGAGTAAGCATTTCTGGACAATGTGGGAATCTGCTTTGTTTGATGATGAATCTGTTAAAAGAGTTTTCTTTTTTATTACTGTTCAGCTGGGGGAAGGAGACAGTGAAGGGAAGGGAAATGAGGACTCACGAATTGAAAAAATTATATTTAAAAAAGCAACCTTAAAAGGTGCTTGTTTAATGAACTGTCTTCATGGCTTTCAGGATATAGAAGAAAAAAAACAAACTACTGAAACTCACCAAACTACCACTGGTTTGGGTTCTAGGTTTTTGTTTTTGGTTTTTTTTTTGTAGATCTAAAACGATATAAAGGAACATTAGAAAACTATTTATTAAAAACTATCCGGGGCCCAAGTGCTACTCAAATAACTGTCACTGGGCAGATTTAAGTTCAATGCCATGCAACACAACACAAGACTGAGATAAAGTTTATTGTCATCTGGCATGATGGGGAACAATGAGTATGAATATAAGTAAAAGGTAATCACAAATAAGAAAAAATGATTTTCCTTTAAAGAAGTAATTGTGCCTCCATCTGAGGCTGCAACATAACAGTTAGGCTGTTCAGATGTAAATTTACTTGTTGTCCAAGATGCTAAGACAAGACTGGAGGCCATACTGACACATTCAGAGGGAATGAGACCAAAGGGGCCCGAACTGAGGGAAGGTTGTCTTTGGAGAAGCAGATAAGGAAGCTGGTGGAGCTGGCATCGCCGTCCACTAACATCGTTTCATGGGATGCTTGGCTGTCTTTCGGTGCTCGTGGTACGGACAGGCTGTGACAGCACCAGGGAGGCAGCTGTAGCTAAAGTCCCTCTTGGAGAGAACTGAGCACAGAAATTTTGTGAAGAACTTGACAAGATTACGTAGCAAAGCAATATAGGCCTTTACATTCAGTGAATTCAATGAAAAAGTAGCCACAGGGGACGGTGAAGAGAGGAGGAGAGTGCTGGGCATGGCAAGCAATGGGTGGTGGGAGGCGGTGGAGTGATTTCCAAGGTCTCTCCAAGGAGGGAAGACGTCAAAAGAGTGGAGACGATCAGAGCACTGTTACTCATGATGATGACGCCTCATGTTTACACAGAGCTTTAACGTATGAAAGCACTTTCCATATACACGTGCTACTCGTACGGGCGTGTGTGTATGTAGCAAGACATGAAATACAGCTCCCTACCACAGCTGCTGTGACGGTCAAAGGAGGTGACCTGCACAGCACTTTGCAAACCCTCATGCGCTACAGAACTGCTGGCCATTGCTGCTGGTGCTGGTCACGGAGCAAGAGAAGGGGGCCAGGAAGGGCAGAGCCCAGATGGTGCTCTGCTGTCTACCAAGAACCAGAAGACCGTGAGGGAACCCTGCAACTGCGCTCAGTCCTATTCTGTGGGGGAACTGGCAGGGAGGAACCCCGAGAAGAAGCAGGCCCAGAGGGGTTGAGACCACAGTGGTGGATGGAAGTAGACGTGAATACGGCACATTCACGGTACAATGAGAAGACTGGTTTCTTTGGAGCAGAGAGCACGTAGGATTTTGAGAGACAGTGGATAAGTCAGGCAGAGGAGCTGAAGGCCAGGTGCCATTTCAAGCAGGGAGCAGCTCCATAAAATGGGGTTTCACTAGTCTGACAATGAATGCAGGGCACAGGCTCAGACAGAGGAGGCTTCCCGAGTCCATCCCTCAGGACAAGCCTGGGAGCCAGGATCACGCTGGAAGGAACCATGAAAGTCATCCGGCCCCCAGCCGTCTTCACATTCAGCACTCTCGCTCCTGCTTTGGGTTCCTGGGCTCACCTGGGTCGGTGAGAGGTCCCCACTTCTGGTCTGACACAGACCCTCGCACTGCAGCTACTCCTGGTCCACCTTGGGCCTGTGGCACGGTGAAGATCCCCTCTCCAATCCACCCTCCCCTCAGCTGCCAGACTCATTTTCTTGGAGTAGGTTTGATCATGGCACCTCCAGCCTCCCTACCCCACCCAACGCTCCTGCTCCCGGGGGTCCCCACTGACTCTTACATCAAATACTTCATCTCATCTTCTCATTTCTATTCTTTGCATAAAATGCATAACACATGATTGAGTATGGTATCATATGCATCAAATTTATGACAAAGGGAACACCCACATGTAGAGGGGGTACACATTCAGAAATGTTGATGCTTCCCCCTCAAAAAAAAAGGTCTGGAGAGCCATCTGGCATTGCACCCGCTACGTCTCCATGAGGGAGGCCAAGAGGCAATCGCGGCACTGCGGATGGAGAGGGCTGAGGCTGCTTTGGTTTCTACACATCACACTCTAAGGCACCAGAAGCAAACTGCAAGACTGAAGGAATGGAGCCTTACCTCCCCTTCCCCATAACCCTCCCCCTTCCCCAGGGCCCAGGCGCAGAGCTCTGGAATTAGCAAGCTGTGTGTGCGATGCATGAATGCACAAAAGGGGACCGATGTCATGGGTTTCCCAGCTAGAAGAGAAGACGGCTTTCCCTTCGGTGAAAAGCAAGGCTTTGTTTTCCAAAGCCAGATGTTTCATCTTCTAGTCACCTTCCCAGCAACCCCAGGGAGCCCAGATGCAAAGACTCAGCAGGGCCAATGTAGAATCACCCTCCAGAAGCTCTATCTGCTTCTCCGTCAAATCCCTCATTTTTCCTGCATTGTTCAGCACTCCCCCCATGATCCTTTTTCCAAAGGAAATCCCCCCCCCAAAAGCCACAGCTCCAGGACCCAGGAGAGGAGGGAGGGAGGGAAGGAAGAATGGGGGTGGCTTTCCCTTCCTTGGCACAGCCTTCTTGCCGTCCCTTCATATCCCAGAGCTACACAAAGGACTCGGGCATCTGTTTGCAAATCCAAGAAGAGCTGAGCATGACTCCAGGGGCTCCTGAGGAGAGCAGACTGGGCTGGGGGGCAAGGGGGCAGCCCTGCTTTGGGGAGCAGCCGTGCCTGCCTGCAGAATTGGCAGAGGATGTGAAGCCTTTAGAGTCTCAACTCAGGCAAGAAATTTGCTTCTGGAGGCTTAGTTTCTAGCAAACAGCCAATCCTTTTGTGTGCAGATGTTCCCCGAGCCTTTGTAGGTCAATGAATTCGCCAGCTCAATTATTTGCATTAAGCAGGATAATTCTGTAACTTCAATGTGGCCCCAGAGAGACCAGCAGCAGAGCCAATCTGAGGCTTAGACTCCCTCACTGATGTCACTTGAGGAACATTAAGAAAACAAACCCTAAAAGCCTGACCACAAAAAGCCGTCAGTGGCACTGACTCAAACCCTGTCTGTAAGCCGAAGGTGCAGAGGCACAGGGATTCTGGCCCCCTGGACCCCCTGAGGCCTGGTCTCCAGCCTGGCCACCCCCCCCCCCCAGGCCATCCCCAAGCCCATGACTAGGAAAAGCTGGTGGAGTTCTGAGAGAAGATGTGGGGGGAGAAGGGGACAGGACCAAGAGAAGATTCTGTAAGAGGAGAGGAAGCTCGGAGCAAGGGTCCCACACTTCCCAGGCCTGCTTCCTGCACAAGGTGGATCAAGGCTAAAGGGAGGCCCAAGCAGAAATGCTGAGGCCTGAGGGGGATGAAGGCCATACAAGGGACAAGGCCAGTGACTGACAGGCTGTGGGGAGGGAGGCTGCTGCTCGAGAAGAGGAAGGAGGAAGGCCGGAAGAGGAGTAGGCCGGGGAGGCAGGTGACCAGGATGAAGGAAGGGGAGGCTGTAGGGAGAGCAGGACTCCTCCACGTACCAATCTGAAGGGACCTGATGGAGAGGAGAAAAGGAGGCGAGCGGAGACTGCCCACGAGGCCTGGCTTAAACAGAGCCCAAGCCTCACAGAACTGGAGGGTGCCCAAGCAGAGGCACTGGGGGCCCTCAGGAGCAGGGGTCTTCAGGGGAGCAGGGACCCAGCCACACCAGGTGGAGTATAAAGCAGGGTCTTATCAAAGTCACATGTTTAAAACGGCAGTAACAGCAAAGCAAGGTGATTTCTTGGAAGCCCAGAGACCACGGTCTTTTCCTGCCCTGAGTCACGAGCTGCTCCAGCCCATCTCTAGGACACTAATGAGTTCTGACCAGCAGGCTGGACGGGAGATGCTCACAGCATCCCACCTCACACCATCGCACTCTAGGGGATATTCTGATTTTTAAGGTCATTTTCCGATTCAGGCCACTTCCTACAAACTCTCAGATTGAACAGAGGAGACAAGCCGGTGCTGCCTGGGGTCCAATTCCACCCCTGCTCCTCTATCCAGACTATTTAAAAATCAGCTTTAGCAGAAGAGGTGAGAGAAGGCAGTCTGAATCATGTCTCTGATACAGCCATGTATGGCGAGTCCAAACGAGTGAACTCAGAGGGCCTACGACACAGGGGAGGCTCTGTGCCCATTCTGACACAGGATACTTCCTATAGTGCTGGCCTGGCACCTGAGGAGGGTCCTGGGTTTGAATCCTGCCTCTTACCACCCCCACTTGGGTGACTGATCATGGGCACAGCTAATCCCTCCAAGGCCAGGGCATAATAACCAGGGAGTGGGGAGGGCCAAAGGAGCTCCTACACAGGAGCACTTCCTAAATCAGGTAACTGTGGCCCTGCCTAAAACACAGCCAGCAGCAGGGCAGCCACCCTGCTGAGGAAGGCCTTTGCAGTGGGACACGATATGTTGGGAATTGCCAGGTGCAGCCAGATTCCCCCCAGGACAAAAACGCATCCAACGGCAGAGATAAAACCCTCTTTGCTGATCTGCCCCAGCCTGAGCTGGCCCTATCAGTGCCGTCTGAGGCAGCAACACACATACCTCGGGTCAAGCAGGCTCCTCAGAAACTGGAAAAGCAAAAATGGATTCTGAGAGGGAAACAAAAGAAAACAAACCAAGCATTAAAACCAAGTATACGATCAGTCAGCCAGCCAGCAAAAACTGATGGAGTACTCCGCCATGAGGCTGGCACCATGAGGCAGGCTTGTTAGGTCCCGGTGCTAATGAGGACACCCCCACCCCTGCAGAGACCGATCTTCCAGAAGCTCGTGGGGATCTGGCCCTGTCTCCTGAGCTCCCAGGCAGCTTAGAAAGAAAGCACAGTAAGGCATCACTTCCCCTTATCCCCCCTTCCTGCCACAGCAAATCCCTCTTGGCCAGATCGAGAGGAAGCTGGTGACCGGTGCCCAGGAGGGCTGGTGAAGACATCTCAGCTCCAGCACCAACAGGATCACTCCACCTTGTTGGGCCAACAGGCACACGACTGTACTATAGCAGGACTGATGGGGGTGCAGCCAGCCCGCCTGAAAGGAGTAAAGCTAAGCCAAAGGCCCTGCTCACAGTGACCAAAGGTAGACCCCTCTCCCATGGCTGGGGACTGGTTCTAGGTTACCACAAACAAGATGGCATCTCACAGACTGAAGAATCAGCACGTGACTGCCAGGGCCCTAGGAAGGCCTGGCAGAAAGCCTTTTGGCTAGTTTGCCGGTTTTCTCTCAGACACAGGCAAAGGCTTCCCAAAAGGCCTCGGAGAGAGGGTTCCTGCCCAAGTGTTAGCCTGTCCCTAGTGGGGGGCACTGAGCTGCTTTATTAGACAGAACTGGGTGCCTGGCTGTTGCCCGCTGCCCTGGTGGGAGGCAGCTTGGAGGGTTCTGGGGCAACTGGGGCCCAGAATGGGCATGAAGGGGTGTGGGGATAGGCTTGGAAAGGCCCCTAAGGGTGGCTGGAGCGGGGTGAAACTTCTGGGCTGATGGAGGGCAGGCCTGCTCTGCTGAGATCACAGCCCTTCAGGAGGAACTCCTCCAAGGGAAACATCCCATGTTCATATCTAGCCCCCTGATGAAAGGAGAACTGGAGATGTCAACAGAAGTGCATGGGACACAGTGAAGGAATCTGCAGGCCTTCTCAGATAGACAAATGGCTTTCCTTTGGGGACCATGAAGCACCTAGGCACCAGCATGACCTGGGCTGAAGGAGTCCAGTAACTGGAAAAGAGTAAATTCCCTAAAAATGAGAGGGTAAGACTAGATCAGGGGCTCTGAACCCTAGGCCAGAGAGACCCCCCACCCCAGAGGTCTGTGGATAAAATTCCAGGGGTCTAGGAATTTGGATGGGGAAAAAAATGACATCTTTATTTTTATTAATTTCTAACTGGAATTGAGTGTGAGATGAGGTTCCTAAATTTGCCCAGACCCTGCCCAAGGTGGCCACCCTGTGAGAAAGGCTAAGAGCCCTTGGACAAGCCAGCTGCCATGTGCTCGACTGGCCCACTCCAAAAGACACGTCTTCCTTCGGCAGCTGGTGTTCCAGGTGAGGTCTGAGTTAGCCCAGAAATCACGACTGCCACTCTCCTTCTTAGGGAGGCACCATACTTACCTGGAGTTTGTGAATGACGGCCTCAACTTGTCCGGAGAAGTGGGTGGCCACCAGCTCTGCTGCCTTGCAAGGGTTCAGAGACACGAGCTCCTGGATAAAGACAGAAAATGCTCAGTGTTACTTGAAGTTTTATAGCTGAAAAATCCTTCACAAGCCAGAGGTCTGAGCCCATCCTGGGGCCAGACATGAGCTGCACAGAGGACGGCCAGAGACCCCCAGGCATGCTGCCCCGGGCAGGGAGAAGGTCAGGAATGGGCTCGGCAGGAGACCCAGAAGGCAGCAGAAGAAGCCAGGGAAGTAGAGGGGTCCAGGGAGGGGCTCAAGCTTTGACTTCTCTGAGAACAGCTGAAACCTGAACAGAAGCAAGAAAACTGGTTGTCCTCCCCCCAGCATAGTTCATGGGATCCCAGGGTCACAGACTGGAAGCAAAACAACCCTGAGGGTTCACCTCATACCTACCCAGTTGGCAAAGGTGAAGAAAGATGGGGTAGTTAACATTGGAAGGGCTGAAAACTGGTACACTAATGCATTGTTAGTGGACCTGCGATCTGGGCCAACCATTTTGGAAAATAACAAAGCATCTACCATGCCTACAAAGTGGGCCTCAGGATTAGGGCTGGCCAAGGAGGTCATACCCAACAGCCACAAAGAACAGAAAACAAAGTATGCTGCAATGGACTGTTACTCTACTGTATGAAAAAGGGATTATGATGGACACAGAGGCACGTGGGAAATGAACGGACCGGGAGCGAGGAAAGCAAAGAACCCATTGCCTGCCCCAACACAACAACTGACATGCCGGACTGTGAACGTGAGGGTGACAAAGCACGACCCGCCCTCCTCTCCTGCAGAGGACGCAGGCTTCAGGGAGGAGGTGGTTACTGTGGGGCAGATGGGGTGGCTCTCCAGGAGACGAGGGACAGATTGGGAAAGGCAGGACGTGTCAAAACCGATGACTTCAGTAACATTTGTTCATAAAGATTGAGAGCCGGATCTAGAGAGCCGGGAGCCAAGATGGTGGAGTAAAAGGTGAGTCGCTCTTAGCCTCCCTTATTAGCCCCTGAATGCCCAGAAAACATCACCCCAGGAAAAACCCGAACCAGAAGAAAGATGGGGTGCAACAGTCCAGTAGTCCAGGTAGCTTGAGGGACTAACGGGAAAGGCCTCTCTTACCCTGGGGGAGGGGAGCAGTACAGAACGGAGGCGTCCCAGCAAGCTAGCGCAAAGCCCCATCTCAGCATACCAGGAGGAGATCCTGAAGCCCAGGTGGTAGAGCGGGCAAACACCAACACCTGGACCCCCAAGTGCCTCAGTGAGGGTGGGGGAACTGGTGGAAACCAGTTTGGAAAACCACCAGGTGCCTGGGCATTCTACAGCAACCAGCTCTCCCAGTGCCTCAGCAAAACTAAGGGAAGCAGCGCTCCAAGGGGCCCCAGGCGGATAAACACTCTACAACATCCATCTGAAAGGAGCTGAAGAAAGTGAAAGGAAGGAAAGGTCCGGTGAAGATGAAATCTCCAGGAGCCACGCTACCCAAACCTACCCCTAGAGTTCCAGTGTTGCTGATTCCAGCCCACCACCAGGTAAGCTGCCAGACTCCTACAGCCTCCAACTGCCAACAATGGAGGCCCCAGCACACAAAGCCATCGACCAGGCCCTAGGCTCCCAACACAAGAAGCTTGGGTCAATGCCCTCTGCTCCCCAGCAGGAGAGCCCAAGCTCTTTAAAGGCCAGGAAATAAGCAAACACCAGGAGCAAAAAGAAACATACTATAGATTCTTATTATGGGAAGAGTGAAGATCAAGGCCGAAATTCTGAAGAGGACAACATTGTCAACAAACCCACATCTGGAACCTCAAAAGGGAATATGAACTGGTCTGAAGTCCAAAAAGCCTTCTCAGAAGAGCTCAGGAAGGACTTTAAAAGTCAAACGAGAGAGGTAGAAGAAAAAATGGGAAAAGAAATGACAGATACGCAAGACAGAGTCAACAGCTTGGAAAAGGAAGGACAAAAAATAACTGTACAAAACAATTCCTTAAAAAATACAATTGGGGGCAACTAGGTGGCGCAGAGGATAGAGCACTGGCCCTGGATTCAGGAGGACCTGAGTTCAAATCCGGCCTCAGACACATAACACTTACTGGCTGTGTGACCCTGGGCAAGTCACTTAACCCCATTGCCTAGCGCGCCCCCCCCCCCCCCGCCAAATACAACTGGCCAACTGGAAAAAAAAGTACACTGAAGAAAACAAGTCCCTAAAAAAATACAACTGGCCAAATGGGAAAGGAGGTACAAAATCTAAGAGAAGAAAACAATTTGTTAAAAATTAGAACTGGGCAAATGGAAGCTAATGACTCTCTGAGACAGCAAGAATCAGTCAAACAAAAACAAAAGAATGAAAAAATAGATGAAAACGTAAAATACCTCACGGGTAAAACAACTGACCTGGAAAATCGATCCAGGAAAGACAATTTAAAAATTATTGGTCTACCTGAAAATCACGATGAAAAAAAGAGCCTGGACAGTATCTTTCAGGAAATCATAAAGGAAAACTGCCCTGATGTCTTAGAACCAGAGGGTAAAATAGCCATAGAATGAATCCACTGATCACCTCCTGAAAGAGATCCCAAATTGAAAATGCCAAGAAATACAGTAGCCAAATTCCAAAACTACCAGGTCAAAGAGAAAATACTACAAGCAGCCAGAAAGAAACAATTTAAATATCACGGAACCACAGTCAGGATTACGCAGGACCTTGCAGATTCTACAGTAAAAGACCATAGGGCGTGGAATACTATATTCCGTAAGGCAAAGGAGCTTGGATTACAACCAAGGATCAACTACCCAGAGAAAATGAGCATGATCTTTCAGGGGAGGAGATGCATATTCAACGAAATTGGGGACTTTCATACCTTCCTGATAAAAAGACCAGAGTTCAACAGAAAATCTGATCTTCAAATACAAGACTCAAGAGATATAAAAAGGTAAATGGGACAGAAAGAAACAACATGTTATTAATAAGGGCAAACTGTTTACATCCCTACAAGGTAAGATGACACTTGTAACTCTTGAGAACTGTATTGTTATTACAGCATGTTAAAGGGGTATACATAAAGGGGGTGGGTATAAGTTGACTTTGATGTAATGATAAAAAAAAAAATCTAATCAAGTGGGTTAAACGGATCCAAGTAAGTGGATTAAGAAATGTTACTGAGAGAAACGGAAAGGAGGAGGCAGACAAGGGTATATTACATCACAGGAAAAGGCACAAAAGCTATTACAGCAGAGGGAAAGAAGGGAGGGAGATGAGCACTGTTTGAACCTTACTCTCATCAGATTTGGCTCAAGAAGGGAATAACATAATCAGTCAGGTATAGAAATCTAACTTGCCGTATAGGCAGTAGGTGGGAAAAGGGGAAAGAAAAGGGAGGGGGGACAAAAGGGAGGGAAGAAGTGGTAAGGGTAAAGGGGAAGAAAAGAGAGAGGGCAAATAGAAGGGAGGTGGGACCAAGGGAGGTGGTGGTCAAAAGCAAAACATTAGTGTGGAGGGAAAAGGAGAAAGGAGAAAGAAAAGCATAAATGGGGGCAGGGGAAGGATGGAGAGAAAGACACAGATAGTAATCATAACTGTGAATGTGATATATGAATGTGATGGAATACTACTGTGCTATAAGAAATGATGAACAGGCTGACTTCAGAAAAACTTGGAAAGACTTGTATGGTCTGATGCTGAGAGAAGTGAGCAGAACCAAGAGAACATTGTACACAATAACAGCCATGTTGTGTGATGACTAATATTGATAGACTTAGCCCTTTACAGCAATACAAGGATCTGAGACATCTCCAAAGGCCTCATGATGGAAAATGCTATCCACAAAGGAGAAAGAACTCTGGAGTTTGAATGCAGATCGAAGCATACTATCTGCTATTTTTTTTTCTTCTGTTGTGTTTTGTTTCCTCTTTCTGGTGGTTCCTCCTATTGGTTCTAATTCTTACTTACAACATCACCAATGTGAAAATATGTTTAATAGGAATGCATATGTAGAGCCTATATCAGATGGTGCACCATCTTGGGGAAGAAGGGGGAGAAAAATTCAAAACTCAAAAGCTTATGGAAGCAATTGTTGATAAATCAAAATAAATTAATAAAAAAAGAACGGGAAAATAAAATAAAATAAAATAAAAATAAAGATTTAGAGCCGGAAGGGACGTTCAAGGTCACTGGGTGCAGCCTCCTCATCTTACAGATGCAGAAACTGAGGCACAGGGAGGTGAGTGACTTGGCCAAGATCACACAGGTTGAGTGGCAGAAGTGGGAGCAGACAGAAAGAATGAAGGAAACAGAAACAAGACAAAAGGAAAGGCAGCTCAATCACATTAACTCATTCAACAAACCCTTCCTGAACACGACAGAGGTGACTACTCCAAGGTCCCTGCCATAAAGGAGATCATTTTGGGAGGCCTTCCTGGAGGAGGCGGCACTGGGACAAAGAAAGGCTGACCATATCAGGCATAGGCAGAACTAGGACAGAAAGGAGATGAGGCCAGGACAACGGGACATTCTGTGGGCCTGGAGGGAGCTGTTGAGAGGCCCACGGGTCCTGTGACATGGCCGTGACACAAAGCTGGGGCGGACAGTGCTGAAGGTCTAGGAAGCCCTCCGGAGATGAGCGGGGTCAGCGTTAGGATTTTCGGGGGCGCTAAGGGATCTGTTTGTGTTCAGCCGCCACATAAAGGTCAGGGCTCCAGGTGGAATAAACAAATCTCCACTCACTAGGTCAAGGGGCCAGATCTCCTCTTCTTTTTTTTTTTTTTTTTTGCAAGGCCATGAGGGTTAAGTGACTTGCCCAGAGTCACACAGCTAGTAAGCATCATGCGTCTGAGGCTGCTTTTGAACTCAGGTCCTCCTGACTGCAGGGCAAGTGCTCTGTCCACTGTGCCACCTAGCTGCCCCCAGATCTCATCCTTTAGAACTGACTAGGAACCAAGGCACAGTCACTGAGCCAACCACAACAGGACCCTGCTGGTCGGCAGGTCGGCACTTCTGGAGAAAAAAGGCCGGGGAACCAGGGGCTCTCCAAGGTCAGGAG